CACGAGGCGAGGCATAACGCTAAACCGACCATACCGTGTAAACTGTGTAATAAAATGTTCATAAACAATTCGGAGTTGAAGGAACACCAGAAATCCCATCAGGTCGGAGAAAAGATATCTTGTGAACTGTGCGATTACGTAACTCTGTACAAATCGAATATGTCTAGGCATTTGAAAAGGCACAATAAAGATTATCTTTTATTTTGTGATATATGCAATGAGGGGTGTTATTCCAAGGACGAATTGGTGACGCATCATATAAAAAAGCACGGAGCTGCACCGTTTTATTGCAAGACTTGTAATAAAAATTTCACAAATCGGGGTTACTTGTACAACCATAATAAAACAACGCATTGCATTACATCGAAAGACTATCTGTGCGAAACATGCGGTAAGGCGTTTAAAACGAAAAACGCCACAAAACGCCATATGAAAATCCACTTAGGACTGAAATTCTCCTGCCAAATATGTAGTAAAACGATGAATTCCTCGTATTCGCTAAAGAAACATTTAAAAGCCCATAGGGGAGAAAAGGACGTCATATGCTACATATGCGGTAAAGCGTTTGTCGACAAAAAATACATGGCGGCGCATTTAAGATCTCACACGGGCGAACGTCCTTACTGTTGTAACGAATGTGGAAAACGTTTCACGCAAGCCACCACCCTCAAAGTGCATATGAGGTACCATACTGGCGAACGGCCTTACGTATGCCAATTATGTGGTTCGGGCTTTGTCACAAAAACGCTTTTAACCGCCCACATGAAAAACCATGAAAAAGGAATAGGAAATAATTCTTAACTTCCAACCATTCTTCAACGTCCATTAGTGTAATTTTTTGTACAACTTTTTATTTATACATTTACAGAAATATACATGGAATTTATATTTTTTAATTTAACAGAATATATATTTTTCAAATATTTTTTTTATATATTTTTTTGCACCATCCACCTCTGCCGTTCCTGAGAACCATATACTGACCACAAGCAAATTATTTATGATTTGATAGCTTTTCTTGCTCTTTTGTTAATCAGATGCATTTCGGCATTTCACCATCTTCAATGTTGAGTTTGAGCGATTTCACCTGAATTCACTCAAACTCAACACTGAAGTTGGCTAAAAACTGAAACATGAGATTGACAAAATCAGCGAGGATAGGTGAACCGAGACTTCTAAGGTTCATCAACCCATAAACCACAGAATAAATCTCACAAATTATTTCTTCACTCAAAAAAAAAAAAAAATCTAAATTTACAATGGTATATATTTCAAGGGCCTACATGCCACGTCTTCAGCCAATCAAAGTTTTCGGGAGTACCTCTAGATATTTACTCAAGAAAACTTGGAAGAGGAGGCAGGATTTTCCATGAAATATCACTGTAAATGTAGAGTTTTTTTTTTAGTTTCTCAATTTCTGCGATCTTCGCTGGAGCATGTTTAATAAAAATAAGCAACTTGGTGGGTCGACCAAACTTTTTTTGGTAATTCTACACCCCAAAATATTGGTTGCGTATCTTATTATGAATGAATTTTACAAGTACAATTTTTGAACCGATAGGTGTACAAGATCAAGTTGACCTAGTTGAATACGTCCATTCCCCAACACAAAACTTGCCCCTCGACCAGTGCGTGAAAATTTAAAAACTGTTAGAAACACATACTTTTTCTAACTGTTTTGGTAATTTATATATTTCATTAGTTTTAGATAAATTCTAATATGAAGTTATGCAAAAGCTTACAGGATCAGGGTAGCATTTAGGCAAATCAGATTGCCTTGTCAGAAGTTGATCAAGCACTGGAATCGCTCAGAAATGTTGCAAAGCAAGATGGCAAACAAAATTGGAAATTAGTAACAAGGCTGGCTTTTAAATACTTAAAACTTATATAAAACAATCGACTGTTTTATGAAAAATTCAACTCATCTTGAAGGAGTCATGCAGGGGGAAATTTTAAGCCCATTTCTGTTTTTGTATATTGTTCATTATAGTGTTTTACTAAATATGTGGGGTTGATATTGAAAACAGAACAGAATTGATCATTAAACTTTAACTGACTGTAAACAAATAATTTTTTTTCCAAATTTAAATAAACAGTAATTTCATGTAAATCAGACCGTTTGGAACAAGGGTGGGAGGGTACTCACCGTTTACAGTCAATCCGCTGTGTACCGCAGCAGTGTATTTTAGGGAATCCAACACTTTTAAATTCTTTTCAGGATCGAACACTTCTTTTGTCTATCGTCTACACAGAATGGACTCGTTCTCTTCTAGACTCGACTGTCTCTACCCTCATTCTCCCGATCCTCTTTTATTTTTGCTCTAGGCTTAATCATCAAATCTAAATCACAACATTGTCACTTTGAAATAAATTGAAATGTGACAAAATTTCTCACCCGTAAAGGCCTGGAAAAAACAAGTTTGTTTTTCAATTTAAAACTACAATGTTCTCCCCACCGTACATTTGACACCCTTCGGATAGTTAATGATGATGTCTTGCTGTTCGCTGCATTTAAATGCTGAATGGGCTCCTCTGAAGTCATGTATGCTCATACAATGTATGAATGGCCAGTGTATATCCGTGGGTTTCAGAAGATGAGACCTCATAATGTTGTGAACCCAAAAACCATTAAGGTCTTGTTATTAATCCAAAATTGAGCTTTGCGCAGAACCGATATTGATAGGTTGGTCACTCGAACCAGAGAACCTCAATATCTGCAGCTATATTGTTTTATGTAAAAATACATGAGTTTTCAGGAGGCATGTGTTACAATTCAGGACTACAAAATCCTTAAAATTGAATTCCAAATTCTGTCTTTATTCGAAGGGGAAAAGTCTGTGAACATACTGCATGTGATGCACGCCGCGGGGATGGTTACCCTGGCTGGGATATTACGCTTTGACGAAGATGTAATTTAGGTTTTCAGGATAAGCAGCTACAGCCAAAATTCAGATATGCTCTCTACTCTAGTCAACGGTATCCGGGGGAGCGAGATGGCTCGGATTTCTCAGATTCTCAGCATCCTTATGTCAAGCAGGATTTCTCTGCTGATCAAAATGTCTCAAGTACAATAGAAGCACTTGGATACACGCTGAAGAAGACGTCTTTCAGACAGAACGATTTAGCTTCTCCAGCCCGCATCTCTATGAAGAGTTTGCATATGACCTCCACTCCAAAGCATAGCGCAATAGAGATTATCGAAAACCCAGAGCATTCAAGCTCAAATGTATGCATCAACCCTGAAGTAAACGATGAACATTCTTCATCGAATGTGGGATCAGAAGATGCTTGTGAAAATCTTAGCAGGGTTTGTCTCGAAGTTGGAAACGTTGAAAGAGCGGAAAGAGACAGGGAGTTGAGTTATACTGACTTCAATTTTATCCCCATCCAATTATTTAAGGTTTTAAGTTGAGATAAAAAAGTCAGTGACATGAGCGGGATTCGAACCCACGACCTTCAGCTTGATATGCCGCTACTGTACCACTTGAGCTATCATGACTTCAATCCCCTTTGGCACTAACTTCCCATCCCAACCCCACCTTTTTTAATTTTCCCTCCTTTTTGCCATTTTTCAACCTTAAATAATCGAATGATATTAATTGGTCAAGCGGACCATGAAAAATAATGAATTTATCCCCATCGTTCAGTTTATTAAGAGAAACTTAACTTCATTGTCAGATTTGTGATTCTAGCATTATAAAACCCTTAGAAAATTGAAATCAGTGTAAATTAATTTTTTGACTGATAACTGACTGATTTATAAAAAGAAAAACGAAGGCCAAGAATTTTGAAGAAAATATTACAAATTTAAATAAATAAATAAAAATTTTCCCCAAAAAACTCAGTCCATGCTTTGAATTATCAATTTTGTATTATAAACTTTCAATTTTGTTATCCACAAACAGAAACAATTGTTTTGTGATTTTACAAAAAAATTAACTAGGAGAGTTTAATGAGGTTCCATCTACAAAACTAGTGTCATAATAATAGTTCTGTCAAAAAAAAAAAGTGTCAGGACCGTCGTGGCCAAGTAGTTTAGAGCTTCCGACTTGTCTGCCACGAGGGGCAGTCCTGGGTTCAAATCCCAGGCATAGTCCATGGAATTTTATATGAAAAAAAGTGTTGAAAAGTGGTTCTCAACTCTCTTCCATGACACCCAACAAGTAGGACATTAAGCATTTTTATTTGACAGGAATTTCTTTACTTAAATAAGCATCACTGTAAGGGCCTTGGGTTTGAACCCAGTAACCCTGAATTTAAATTTTTTTTCAAAAACACCGGCACCCTGGAGATTGATTGCAAACCTCCGGTTAAAAAGGGAAAAAAAATACTAAAGAACAATTATATTCTAGCATAACGACTATGCTGGTTGCATTGGTGAATACTGCATTCAGGTGTTTTTTATTTTTCACATTGATGTTAACTATATTGTTTGAAAAAAAAAAAAAATATTGTGTAATAAAATTTTTGTTTTCTTTGTATCAGGTTTAAATTTTGAGATATCATACTGGATTACTGTTTAAAGTTAAGATTTTTTTTATTATCAGATATAGTCTTTAAAACTATAGACAGTTTTATTATATCACGCTGACAATTTTAAACATAATTTTCTGCAAATCAGTGTTTGTAAATTGAATTTACTTAATGAAAAAATGTGGTTGAGATGGGAGGTTGGTGTCTGAGTGGATCGAGGTCACGATAGCTCAAGTGGTAGAGCAGCGGCGTATTGAGCCGAAGGTCGTGGGTTCGAATCCCGCTCGTGCCATTGACTTTTTTATCTCAACTAAAAACCTTAATTAATTGTAATATTGGACCACGAAATTAGTGAATTTAATGAAAAAAGTAAAAAAATATAATTCTTTTGTAAAGAACTAAAACTTTTTTTTAAATTTCCAATTCATCCTGATTAAAAATAATTAAAAAAGGATTTTTTTTATCCCATTAGTTGTACCTGCAGCACGTTGGCTAAATTGTTGTATTGAAGTGAACTTTATTTGTAGGGACGGAAGCTTGTCTTCTGCTGATTGGCTCGACGATACTATCGGCTGTGATGATATATTGTCACAGGAGATCCTAGCATTAGAAGAAGAAGAGGTCGTAAAAAAGAAGTGCGGGAGGAAATCATCAGGGCCCGACTACATTTCTCACTTGTACGACCGAAAACTGTCAAAATATAAATGCGACAAGTGTCATTATTCGACCGCTGCGAAAGGAAATTTTAAAAAGCACATAATGAGGCATACAAAGGCGTACAAGATTGTTTGTAAAGAGTGCGAAAGGGGTTTTTACACCATGGGGGCTTACAAGCAGCACGCACCCGATGGAGATTGCACGCAGAACTTGACATTGCACTGTCCAAAATGTAGCAGGAAATACCACTTACCTTCTAAGCTCAAGGACCACATGAGAATCCACGATCCTGATTTTTCAGCGTCCGGCTTCCAATGCGACGCCTGTGGCAAGACATTTCTGACGAAACGAGGGATGGAAAAACACATCCAAGCTACGCATATGGGAATAAGGCATAGATGTCAGCTTTGCGGTAAACAAGTAACGTGCGCCCAGTCTCTTAAAAACCATATGAAGCTCCACACAGGGGAAAAGTCGTACGTCTGTTCGGCCTGCGGCAAATCGTTCAGCTGCATGACCGGCCTTGTCGTTCATGAAAGGACCCACACAGGGGCCAAACCGTACAAATGCGATTTGTGCAAAAAATCGTTTACACAACCTTCAACCCTTAAAGTACATAAAAGATACCACACAGGGGAAAGGCCATACACTTGTGCTTTTTGTGATAGGAAATTCTATACTAATACACACCTTAGTTCTCATTTAAGAACACATCTTAACGATCCAATTCTGAACAATCTAAATTTTTAAATTTGATAACTGAGACAAAGAGTTACCATTATTATCTTGACTATTTAAAAAAAAAAAAAAAATTAACCAATGTTTGAAATAATTCATGACTATATTTCAGTATGATTTTAGGCAAATTTAAATTACAACAACCAGAAAAAGACTCAAACTGATTATTGCATTTCAACCATAACATATCAACAAAAAATTATACTTTACATACATGGCCAAATTTTTAATTCTGAACCATTTTGTATATTGAATTCTAAAAATCTTCATTAATTATTATACAAGATAATTAAATTTTTAAAAAAATGGCAAAAAGAAGGTAAAATTGAAAAGGTGGGGTTGAGATGGGAAGTTAGTGCCTGAGCAGCTCAAGTGGTAGAACAGCAGCGTATCAAGCCGAAGGTCGTGGGTTCAAATCCCGCTCGTGACACTGACTTTTTTATCTCAACTAAAAACCTTAATTAATTGAATGATACAAGTTAATATTGATTATTTTGGCAATTCTGGAATTTTCTGTATAGCAAGTAATCCACAAATTTTTCCACTCATTTTCTCAATTTTTTGGCAAAAGGAGAAACGACAAAAAACCTCTTATATTATAAAACAAAGATAGAATATTTTAGAGTATTTTAGGCCCAATTTTAAATAGTAAATAGTACTCAATGGAAAAAATATAATGGGATTTATTAATTGTTTAATCGATCCTTTTAAAGTTTGATAAATATTGGAACTACGATAACAAATCGACAAATATCGTGACAAATATAATTGGACTATAAAGACCAAATTTATTATGTTTTAACTAAGTCAATATTTATAAATCAAACAATCCTGGGATTTTTTTTTTTTTTTCGCAAGGAACCAATAGGTTTTCTCATTCTGAAATTTCTATCTATGATGTATTCCCAAATTAACGTAGGATATTTTTAGAACTAGAATCCCCTTTGCATCGTACTGAATTCGAACACAATTTTAAAATAATCTGTTCAATTAAAAAACCTGTACATTTTCATAAAATTATGCCAAGAAATACAGTACAACAAACAGAAAAGGCAAATTGTGTTCTAAAGTACTTATAGAAAAAAAATCAGAAAATCAACTGTTCAGACTTAGATTAGACATAGATATTGAAAAGGGCAAAAACGTATGCCCAGATCTAGTCAGTAATTAAAAATATGCAATAATTTTATCGCAGTCCCTCCTTTCCAAAAAATAAATTATTTTCTAGTCGTTCAATTTGAAAAGTCGTTTCTTTTTAGTTTGTAATTTAATTTGTGATATATTTATACACCTGTTAATTTATTTTTTTTACCATGATGTAATTTTAATTATTGACAAAAATTTATAAACGTTGAAGTTTACAAGGCCTAGATATTTATTATTGTTTTCTTGTCATTATTGCAGTGTTCTTGTTGTTGCTTCAAGGTTTTTTCAAATGGGCAGTAGAAATTTGTTTGTTTTCATGTGTTGAAGTCAAAATTGTCATTTCATTCCAAAGATATTAATTAACCAGCTGTTTGTCGTCTATTATATTGCGACAATTGCGACTTAGTTTTAAATATAATTTCCTTCTAATTTTAAAATGTACATCACAATCATGTAATATATATAACACTATGATAAAGGACTCGATATTAAAAATACTAAACCAAAGAATGTTGGAAACAGTCCACTGTTGAAAACAATTTTATATAATAATTATGTTACTCAATGTAGTAGTTCTATGAAGTTGATGTTTTCTTAAGGAAAATTTAAATAAAAGATTAAAAGTTATAATCGAATTTCAATAAATTTATGAAAGTAATGTATTTTGTGATTTTTTTTAATAGAACAATTTTTATTCCTTACCCGCCTTACAAGAGTAAACTACCAACATGAGAAGATTTCAAAACTTTTTTTGTCGATTCTAGGTAGAAAAATATTACTCGTGTCTGAGCATTTTGGCCAACAGGCTCTACATGCCGAGAAACCATTTTTTCTTGTATTTTACATGTTTATTAAATATGGTTTTCTGCCTTTTTATATGAATATATTGCTAGTTTATTATAAATCAGTTGATTTGTTTTTGAGTTTTTTTTTTTATGTAGGATAAGAAAATAAAATTTAGGATTGTATTAAAAAATAAAAATAAATAAAAAACATAACAGTTCGTATTCATTTTAAGCACCCTTTAAAACGCTTGAATACAAATTTTTATAGAAATATAATAGAGTATAGATAAGTTCACTAGTTTCATGGTCCGCTTGACCAATTAATATCTTACAATTAATTAAGGTTTTTAGTTGAGATAAAAAAGTCAATGGCATGAGCAGGATTTGAACCCACGATCTTCGGCTAAATACGCCGATGTTCTACCATTTGAGCTATCGTGACCTCAAATTTAATAAGTTTAAATGAAGTATACCTTCACTAAAGCTCTCCGTGGCCATTTCATTTGTCGCCGAGAATCATATAGATTACACGACATTTGAAAAATGGCCAAAAAAGGAGGGAAAATTCAAAAGGTGGGGTTGAGACGGGAAGTTAGTGTCTGAGTGGATTGAGGTCACGATAGCTCAAGTGGTAGAGCAGCGGCATATTTAGCTGAAGGTCGTGGGCTCGAATCCCACTCGTGCCATTGACTTTTATCTCAACTGAAAACCTTAATTAATTGAAAGTATAGATAAGGTGCTAATTTTTTTCTCACTGATGATGGTGTTCCACTTCCAACTTCATAATACCTCTGGATTTTATCCAAATTAAATGTTATGACCGTTGTAAAGCTGAATTACAGAGGCCAGGTTTGCGCCATTAAGTGCAGTTAAGTTATATATGGATCGTGCTTCAATAAAAATAAAAATTCAAATCCTTACGCTGAGCCTAAGGAAGCTCTCGGAACTCCCAACAAATCCTGATTGAGTCAGCCTATTAAGCATTAAAATAGAACCCAAAGTAAACTTGACAACCCACTAAACAGATCTAGTAAGAAAATTCAATTTTTTTTTTATTGAGATGCCTAGCTACAGATATGAAGTGAAACACTAATAAAAATAAATAAAAAATGGCTGCTTTCATGCCCATATTTCATGGAGGGACATGCTCCATCATTAATCAATTTTGAAACCCAAAGAAAAGCAATCATTAAATCTATATATGTTTTGTGGTCCTGATTGATCGTATTAATTTTTTTTTTATCAAAGGTTTTTGGATGAGATGAAAAAGTTAGTGACATGAGCGGGATTCGAACCCACGACCTCCAGCTCAATACACTCTCTAATTACTTGAGCTACCATTATACACCAAAACAAGGGAAAATTCGAATGGTTGTAGGTTTAGATGAGAAGTTGGTGTCGAGTGGATCGAAGTTACGAAAGTTCAAGTGGTAAAGTAATGGCGTATTGAGCCTAAGGTCGTCGGTTTGAATCCCGCTCGTGACACTAACTTTTTCATTTTAACCAAAAGCCTCACTGCCAATTAATTAATAAAAAGATTAATTGAAAATAGTAATTTGGTCAATAGACAAATAAATATAATGGATTTAACAAGTAAAACAAAGTATATCTTCACTAACAGCTCCCCATGGCCGTTTCAAAAGTCGCCGAGAATCGAATCCTGATTACACTACATTTGAAAAGTGGCAAAAAGGAGGGAAAATTTAAACGGTAGGTTGAGATGGAGAGTTGGTAACCGAGTGGATCAAAGTCACGTTAGCTCAAGTAGTTAAAGCAGTGGTGTATAGAACCAAAGGTCGTGGGTTCAAATCCCGTTTGTGACACTAATTTTTACACCTCAACTAGGGCATTAGATAAAAAAGGATAATTAACTAAAATATAGATGCCTGTATTTACATTCTAAAGCATATAACATGCGTTATTAATAACCTTTATAAATTTATAAGTGTAACTACCTTACATTATCAAGAAACCAGATCTCTTAAAAAACTTGTCACCACTTTTAATAGACTGAAAGTTGCACAAAATAGTACAAAATATTAGATGGTGAAAATATTATAATGCTGTACCTGACAAATTAACACTAAGATTTAAATTTTAAGATTAAAAAAAAAAATAAAAAAGCTAAGGGAAGTAATTTATCAACATCTAATCACATACGCCTTTTAAAGTGTTGTAATACCTAATTCATAGTTGATACAAATAAACTCTTTCTCTTATAAGTTTATATGATTTTTGAATCAAATGAAGGCTAAAAATGTTGATTTAAAAAAATTATTTATTGATTTTCAAGAAAAAATTGTATCCAGGGTTGTTTTAGGGAGAAAAATAAGAATATAACTTTGTTTTTTCTTAAAAAATTAACCCTTATTGCGATGTAGCATGTGAAATGCCAGTAGGTCAAAATATAATTTTTTTTAAAATGAAATTGTTATTAGTTTTCTGTACCCCAAAAATTCAGAATACAAATTTTTGGTTAAAACAAAAAATAATGTTTTCAATTAAAAATTTTTTGTTTTCCATTTGCTTCCTGATTTTTTTTTTTCGAAAAAATGCTTATAAGTTTTTAATGACTCCAGCAACCTACTGTAAACTTTTTAAGCTTCAAGCCCCTCTAAATTAGGCATTAGGCATCCTACTTACATAAATTATAATTGAATAAATAAATAGAAATGTTTGAGTTTGTCAAGTTTAACCTTGTTTTCTCACTTAAAATAACACAAAATCAAAATCTTGTTGACAAAGACTGAAAGAAAGAAGCTTGACAACTGTAATAACTATTTCAATTAATTATTTCTTTTTATCTGAAGTCTTGGTCGAGACGAAAAATTAGTATCGCGAGCGGGATTCGAACCCACGACCTTCTGCTCAACACACCGCTTGAGCTATCGTGACTTTGATCCACTCGAAAATCGTGGGTTCGAAACCCGCTCGTGATACTTTTTCATCTCAACCTAGACTTAGATAAAAAGTATAATAAATTGATACTGTAATAGCATTGAATTTGGATAAAATCAGATGAGTTATGAATTTTTTAATGGTACTAGACATCAATGAGAAGAAAAATTTCCTCCAACACATCCAGACAAAATATGTCAGTTTTTATTGCAATTAAAATCGAATTTATGGGTTTTAAAAGGTGCTTAAAACAAACCTGATTTTTTTTCAATAATAAATTTATCTATTTTACTGAAAGCATCTTGGTTTTTGGAACTTTATATACATTTAATATGATCCTGTGATCTGTATATTATTTTCTACTACGAAAAAAAAAAATCGACTGATATATAATAACCCTGAAATAAATACATATAAAACAAATGTTAAATTTCATAAAATATTTTTTACTCACTCAGAGACGAGTAATATTTTTCATCCTAGTATCACAAAACCAAAAAGTTTCTTTAAAATCGATGATTGGTCTGTAGCCTCTTCCTTATTAGATATAATTTATAATATTTTTTAATTTTAAAACATTTTCTATGCTTTTTTTTTTAATGCACCCTATGTAATTTCATGCTTTTTTTGTTTTACATTTGTTTCTATAATGCATGTTTTATGGTGTTACTGCCTGATAACATGTCAATACAATAGATTATATTTTACATTTATTTTCAAGTTTTTCTGTTGATTTAAGTTTCATTTCATTTTAGGTGTACGGTAAATGAAAGTAAATCAACCAAAGTGGTAAATGATGGGAAGAAGCCTGATGAAAAAACGTCCAATTTGGAGAAAGGGATAAGCGCCGAGCGTCGTAAAGATGATTTATTAGCCAAACACGACTTTTCCAGTTTTAACGTGACCAAAGGTGCGGAAAAAAAGTTTGTATGCAGCGTCTGCCATTATAAAAGTACATCATCGAGTAATTTTAAAATCCACATGATGAAGCACAACAAAGAGTATTTGATCAGATGCGACGTATGCGGGAAAGGTTTTTACAACAGAAAATTTTGCGCCGAGCACAAACAATTGAAACACAGCAGTGAAATAACAATCCACAAGTGTGACAAATGTGATAAAGTATACCACAGCAGCAGTTATTTGAAACAACACTTAAAAACGCATTCCGATTATGAGAAGAAAGCGTATCTTTGCGAAACATGCGGGAAAAAATTCCTCTCCTGGAAAGGCGTGAAAAGGCACAACATGATCGTCCACCTGGGTAGCAGATACAAGTGCGACATATGCAAGAAGGAAGTCAACAGTCTCCAGTCGTTAAACAACCATAAAAAAACGCATTCAGGAGAGAAATCCTTCGTCTGTAAAATATGCGGCAAGGGGTTTATCGCGATGCACAACTTAGTCGTACACGAAAGAGTTCACTCGGGTGAAAAACCGTACAAATGTGATATATGCGATAAAAGTTTTACCCAATGTTCGACCCTCAAGGTTCACAAAAGGTACCACTCGGGAGAAAGGCCGTATCCTTGTTCTTTATGCAATAAAAGGTTCGTGACAAACACACTGATGAAAGTTCATGAAAAAACACACAAATGAGCTAAGTGTTTAATAAGGAAAAGTTTTTTTTTCTTCAAATCATATATTCTGTTCTTCTCTCCAGCCTAGCTCAATTAGCTAAATATAAGGATTACCATCGTCTAAAATATGGAAATAATTATATATTTCATTTTGAAGGAACACCTATATAGTACAAATTTTAATTTTTCTTTTAAAGTTATTATTGGTCATGACAAACCAATAAAAATTTAAACAAAAACTTGCTAATTATTTCTTTTATAGTTTCTTCTTTTCTTTTTTCTGAGCGGGTATTGCTAAGTTAATGTCTTCAGGGTCGAATGCTGGGGTTTTGACTCCTAGAAAATAAATTCAGATCACAAAACAGTACTATTTAACAAATAAAAAAAATTAAATTTTGAAATTGGAAAGTCTAAAATGGTGTTAATTTTACAAGGTAAATATATTTTTCTAAATGATTTGAAGGAAAATGAACCTTTCAAAGTAACCAAGTTACTTTTATTTCCTGTAGCTTTGTACATCAAAAATAGACAAAAAATAAATATTAAAATAACCTAAACATATCATTTAAATAAGTTATAAATAAGTTAATTTTATACAATTTTAATTCATAATGTGAATGTATAAGCACACAATAAATTTGTTTTTTTTTAATTTTCATTAAAAAATAATAAATTGGAGCAACTTTTTATTTTACACTTAAACCACAAAAATATGTTAAATCTTTGGACTTAAAATGTATAATAACAACTGCACAGCTGTTTTTTTTTCTTTTTTTTTATAATAATTACTGAACATGAAAAATATTATATCCAAACTATTATGGAAATAAGGTGCCAACATAATAGTAAAAAAGTTTCAATTATAAATATTGTCACATTGTTTTATAATCTACTAGGAATTGGCAGGACTCAATTTTATTTTTTTAAAAGTGCATTTTTTTTTTTTTTTGACAATTTCTCCGTTAATTCTCTAAATCCTACCCATATCGATTCTTGGCACTTTTTCTTTTTTATATAAATTCGACTAACTAGGCAAAAAATTAAGTACCTTGCTTCTTATAAAATAGGATGTAGGCATTGCTGTAGTCTTCATCCTGCGGACATTGTTTGACAAATTCATTGTCGTTGAAATAATGCCATTCGCCGGTGTGAGGGTGCTGAGTATAAGAAGTATAATGACCAGAAGACACACCTTTATAAATTTAAAATATTTTATTTAAAATCATAAAGAACAAAAAAAAAGTTACCGAAAGCTTACCCCCAATATGGCAAACGCAAGCGTAGAGATCGTAACTGTAACTGCAAGATGCGAAAGATAACCCTGTGAGTGGAAATAAGACTTTTTCCTTTAGCTTTGTGCTAATCTGATTGTGAAAAACAAACCTGTATGCGGAAAATGAAATTAAAATTTACTTTAAAAAATACACAAAAGACAAAAATACGGACACTTTTATTTATTTTTATTTTCAAAAGAACTAGGTACTTTTGACTATACGTACTTTTGATTAAGTTGACTTAAAAAAATTAAGCACATTAAAAATTTGTTGTTTAAGCTGCTGTTATTAATCCTTTACACTCGTTATATTAAAAATAAATAACATTGACTCTTTTATCTCAACCAAAACCTTAATTAATTGAAAAGAATTTATTTGGTCAAGTGGACCACGAAACATAATAAAATGTAATAAGCAAAATGAAGCATGCTTCACTAAAGCTCTACGTGGCCATTTCATTTGTCGCTGAGAATCCAATCCGATTACACAATATTTGAAAAATTGCAAAAAGGATGGAAAATTGAAAAGGTGGGGTTGAGATGGAAGTAAGTGTCCAAGTGGATCGAGGTCACGATAGCTCAAGTGGTAGAGTAGCGTCTATCAAGCCGAAGGTTGTGGGTTCGAATCCCGCTCATGACAGACTTTTTTATCTCAACCAAAACCTTAACTAATTGAAAAGAATTTATTTGGTTAAGCGGACCACGAAACCTAATAAAATTAAAAATAAAGAAAATCAGTCCAAAATAATCCTTTCCAGCGTCANTTTTTAATGAGGGTTTGCACAGCAGAGGTCATATAAACCCTCAGGGTGTTGGTGTTTTTGGAAAAAAAAAAACATTTGTAAGTATGTCGGGTTTGAAGGCAAGGCCACTGGATTCGAACCCGGGACCTTTACCTTACAGTGATGAGCGCCGTGTCAATGCCTAGGCCACCAACACCCCCTATGATTTCAAATAATTATTCTTTTTATGTAAGGTCTTGGATTGAGATGAAAAAGTTAGTGTCATGAGCGGGATTCGAACCCACGACCTTCAGCGCAATGCACCACTGTTCTAACCACTTGAGCTATCGTGACTTCGATCCACTCAGACACCAACTCCCATCTCAAGCTAGTTGGTGTCCGAGTGGATCGAAGTCACGATAGCTCAAGTAGTTAGAACAGCGGTGCATTGGGCTGAAGGTTGTGGGTTTTCAAATCCCACTCATGACACTAACTTTTTCATCTCAACCTTACATAAAAACAATAATTAATTGAAATAATATCATCAATTAGACCACTAAACATATGTTTTTTTTTATTTGTTAAAACTAATTAATTTGAGTAAAAAATTAATTATTCATTTTTTTATCGCATTCAGTAAATCAGCAGCCTTTTGTAGCCGAAGACTCGAGCTGCTCAAAAAAGTAGGAAGCTTAAGAGCAACCACTAGCCAGTTGGCACTATTTCATTGTTTGAGAACCTAACCCTGTTACACTTTTTCCACTTTTCTATAATAAAAATAATAATTTAAAAAAAAAATACACTAACGTACAAAATAAACGCACCACCCTTAAGTTTTAATGTATTTGGATGTATTCATATTTTGCATACCAAAAATAGGAATGGGTGTAAAAATAAGACATTTAAAAAGAAAATGTATGGGGCATCGGTGGCCCAAACGGTTTCGGCGTTGACACAGCGCTCATCACTGTAAGGTAAAGGTCCCGGGTTCGAATGCAGGGCCGCTGAATTCAAACCCGACATACTTACAAATGGGCTTTTTTTCAAAAACACCGCCACCGTGAGGGTTGATATAACCTCTGCTGTTGCGATAAAAAAAAATTTTAAAAAAAATCTAAAGGCAAAAACATTTTTTAAAAAAATGTACCCTTTAATACCGAGTATTTCTACCTCTGGGATGAATCACATTCGTTAAACGCCTTTGTATTCCATGAAACGATTTCTAGTAAAATCCTAAGGAATTCTTTCCCATTCAACAAGTTTACAATACTTTTAAGGTGTTAGGACCTAAGATTCGCCGTCGACCCGAATGTCTTCGATTGGGTTCAAATCTAGACTTTGAAGTTTGAACTGGTCACATCAAGCACTCAATTTCAACCTGAGCTTATTAATAAAATAAGCTCTTTAAGGGGCCTGGCGTTATCCTGCATTAACAAGAAACCCTCTTTTTACAGACGGTCCAAGACCGGCGATGGTGTGGCGTGTGCTGTGTATAGTGAGGGTACAGTACTTCTGGTCGTTGCCCCCTCATTGCAGCATATACATGGCAGAGCTGTATGCGATTTGGCACGCTCTCGAGGCGGTGCGGACCGGGGAGGGCTCAGCCTTCCTCGTATGTATCGACTCTCTGAGCGCTGTCTGGGATATATGCGACAGGTCCTCTGTGGACCCTCTCGTCATGCTCGTTACAGAAATACGCGGAGCTGGAGCCTCTCGGAAAAACAGTGGTTGTTGTCTGGATTCTCGGATACATCGGCCTGGAAGGTAACGAACGCGCGAACGAGGCGGCGAAAGCCGGTACGTCCCACCCTCCGGATCGGACCATCGCGATCAGATCCCCTGATGCTAAACATGCAGTAAAAAATATGATAAAAGAAAGATGGCAGCGTCAGTGGGCGGGGTCGTCGGAGAGGCTCTTGCAAGTCAAGAGCACGACCGGTAGATGGCCCTCAGAGAACCTGAGCAGGAGACGAGGAATCGTCCTCACCCGACTGAGGATTGGCCATACACGGTTGACACATGGGCACTTGTTTTTGGGCCAAAGCCCGCTCTCGAACATGGTAGCGAGTTTCAGAGTCCCCTGTTCCGCTTTTTAGGGGAAATTTGGGTTTTTTTATTGTATATAATATGTCTTATGTGTTGTGTCTATGTTTTGTCTGAGTGCATGTATTTATTAGCGTGAATGGCAAGGGGTAAGGGTGAAATATACATCATCACTGCCCCTCGAACATTGAGAGCGTATGAGTGTGTGTTCGGGGTCGATGGTGGAATATTTATAAAAGTACTCCACCGACCAAACGGAATGAGTGTACTGTATGGATGTATTTATGTGTATGAATGTATTTATTTGTATGAATGTATTGTTTGAAAGGGTAAATAGACTATAGACTTAGTTAGGGGCTGAAAAAAAAACCTCACTGATGTGGGGGGGGGCAAAAGGCACTGCATTGGCCTGCATTGGCCTTAAGAGATAATACGCATTACTAAGAGCAAAATTAGGTAGTAAATTATTAAATCTAACTAAATGTCCGGTGTTTTCATGAATTTTCTTTCAAACCATCATAATTAAATAATTTTGATTAAAACTGAGTGTCCGGTTTTTGTCTTTCAAGTGTATAAAACAGAAATATTACTATTAAAAAAAAAAAATCACCTTTTTAGGTAAACTATCAAATAATCAGGATATCGCCAAACTGTCAATGTTTTTGTTGCACATCTGTTTTCCCGACAGTGCGGGCAATACCACGGATTACTCGAGTCGAGAAGTTCACTGAAATTTTTATAAAATTTAACTAATTATGTATTTAAACCAATAATTAACAATAATTATGTATTTAAAAAATTAATTAATAACCTTTTGCTAAATGATTGTATGCAGTCATTTAGAGTGAGCATCGGTTGCGAGTCTTCAACTTGTTTATCATTTAGCGATGATTCATGACTAGAGTCGACAGGCGAAGAAAATGAAAGGGCGAGAGTATCGCCGTATTTCAACTGGATCTGATCATCCCCGTTCACTTCGCATCCGTGGCAATGCGCATTAAACATACACCTTGAGCATCTGTCGCCCTTGGATGAAAAAAAAAACAACTTAAAACTAGAATTTTTATTTTTATTTTTTAAACTTACTTTTCCCTCGACGAGAAGAAGCCTATAAGGTTCTGAATACGGAGTTATACTAGCTATGGTCTGTTTTAACGAATCTCTAGGGCAAAGATTGGGAAGTCTCAACAATTTTGGATGCCCAAAAAGCTGAACAGCTTTTTGGTTGTTGTTTCCGTCACCGACTGTGTCTACTCTAAATACTAAAGGCACATTTAACATCCTGAACAAAAACATATTTCTCATTAGAATTAATTTTTTAAAAAATTTTGAAAACGTTTCAAACAAAGACAAACATCACTCTTATCTACCTGGTTGTTATTTGTTTATCCATTTTAATTGGATACAAATCTTCAAGCAATATACATTGATGGCATACAGGGCACTTCAATGAAGAACCATAATGCTGAAGAGATGCCTAAAGCAAAAACTTGCCGATTTGTAATTTAATCATGGGGGGGAGTAAATAATTAGATAAAATGGTGCTTACGGTGATACAAGATTCGCAGAGAATGCACGAACAACCTTTGTGCTGCTTCATGTTGCTGTGGACGTCTTCCAGACAAATGATGCAGTGATTATCAGCGAGGGTGTCTTCATTCTTTTAAAAAATAAACTGTCAAATTCAAAAAAAAATTAAACAAATTTTTTTTCGGCTACCTTTGGGTCGATGTAAATATCTTTTCCTTCATCTTTTAAAATAATTTTTTTAAAAGCGTACAAATATCGATCGGAATGATTTAAATGTCTAATTAAATAATTATCATCCTGAAATTGTTTAAAAAAAAATTATTACGCCTTAATAAGAGTTCAGAAAGTTTACTTTAAACAAGACATAAAATATATAATTTACAACCCACCAATAATTTTGATATGTGATGTTGAAAAACTTCAGCTATAATTATCGAATTTGAAGATTCACCATCAAGATCGTTGACGAGTCTGTCTTTAAGCGTTGCTATACTGTCGCAGTACCTGTTCATCTCTAATGTGTATACCCTGGGATTTTTCTTTGAATCGGAGACATAAGTTACATCTTTCAAAAAAGCACTGATTAAAAAAAAGGGCCAAAATTGTACAAAATATAATTATAAATTGTAATTACTTATGATCTTTTGCATCGCGTTCGGGAGCGGAACTGACAGGTACATAAACGGCTCGTAGGTGACTGACACAAATTGGCAAGTAGCGCAAATAACCTGTAAATATTGATAAATAAACAATAATTAAATTAATTAAGGTTTTTAGTTGAGATAAAAAAGTCAATGGCACGAGCGGGATTCGAACCCACGATCTTCGTCTTGATACGCCGCTGCTCTACCACTTGAGCTATCGTGACTTCGATCCACTCGGACACCAACTTCCCATCTCAACCCCACCTTTTTAATTTTCCCTCCTTTTTACCATTTTTCAAATGTCGTGTAATCGGATTGGATTCTCGACGACAATTACGATTCCACATTTGAAAAATGGCAAAAAGGAGGGAAAATTCAAAACGTGCGGTTGGGATGGGAAGTTGGTGTCCGAGTGGATCGAGGTCACGATAGCTCAAGTGGTAGAGCAGCGGCGTATCTAGCCGAAGATCATGGGTTCGAATCCCGCTCGTGTCATTGACTTTTTTATCTCAACTAGAAACCTTAATTAATTGTAATATATTAATTGGTCAAGCGGACCACGAAATTAGTGAATTTAATAATTAAATTTTAAAAGTATGCTTTTCAGATACAATTATTATAGTGGTTGCTGCTTAATCCATGGCTGGTTAATTTTTGCAAAAGTTTATGGAACCAAATAAGCCAATAGATTAGATTAGATTATCTTTATCATTAGATTAGATAAGATTAGACTTGGAGTTGGCTTCTTTCGGACTTGTGATATGTGACCAATATTGGTTTTTTACCAGATCCCAAAGATTTTTCAAGAACTCGTCCATGTATCCTTCAAGATCGGGCTTTTCTTCTCCGAGGAGTAGGAATCTTAGCCTACATAAACCTTCGCAACAAAGGACATGTTCCGATGCCTCTTCTTCCCGGCAATTAAGAGACAGGGTACCAGACCCGGCAGAACCCCTGCTCCTGTGAAAAGCCGAAAATATGGAGGTCTGAAGTCAAGCTGGTAAACCACCTGCGAAGTCAACAATGGATTCAGACTATCTGACACGGGTTAATTTTTGCAAAATTTGGATGGAACCAAATAAGCCAATAGATTAGAGTTGGAGTTGGCTTCTTAGGACTTGCACAACGTGACCAATATTTTTTTTATTTTTTTTACCAGATCCCAAAGCTTTTCCAAGAAGTCCTCCAAATATCCAAATATACAAAGCCTTTGCAGTAACAAAGGAATGTTCCAATCTCTTCTTCTTCCTGGCAATTGAGACATGATGCCAGGACCCAGCAGAACAAACTGTCAGTACGGTCTGAAGTTGAGTGGGATGAACCTCCCGCGAAGCCCACCATAGATTCGTATTATTCAGAGCTGACCCTTGATCCCTTTGAGAGGAGGTCAAGCTTAAAACGCACACCAGACATGAGTGACCAAAGCAAGTCATCAAGTTGCACTTGATGCACATGAAAACTGACTACCGAAAAGGCTTGTTTCTGCCACTCCGAATCTATGCATATGCCTTTGGAGTCTGCAGTGTCCAGTTAGCAGTCCGACCATTATTCTAGTTTTAACAAGTCCTAGATAAATAAATCAATAAGTCTTTCCAAAGCTTTTTGCCAAATAATTTGTTCTTGCCTGGTTAATTCGTGGTGAGAAAAGTAAGAACGGGAAGTTATTTCTTTCCATGGTGTAATGTCTGATTACCAATTGGGTGTTGGGTACAAGAGGTCAACCCACTTTAAAATACATTTTTCACACTCATTTAAAATGCCACAGTTTAAACCCACAACCACGAGTGTAGCAAATAAGTCAGACGTCATAACCACTCAACCACCATGGTCTCCATGATTTATATGTATCTACTAACATGATCTCAGTGATGAAATACAGACAATTTTCCAGGTTTTGTTGAATTGTCTTCACCGTCGAATTTTATCCTAACCTAATTGGAACAATTTAAGTGGCAGCCAGTGTAATAGCAGAATATTTTTAATAATCAATAAATTAACAATAAATCGTAATCGTATGATTGTCCTGAGTTCTTGGATTCTTGGCGAAAAATGAAATGGCTACGATAGCTCAAGTGGTAGAGCAGCGGCGTATCAAGCCGAAGATCATGGGTTCGAATCCCGCTCGTGTCATTGACTTTTTTATCTCAACTAGAAACCTTAATTAATTATAATACATTAATTGGTCAAGCGGACCACGAAATTAGTGAATTTAATGATTTAAAATAAAGGAAAGCTCTCCATGGCCATTTCATTTGTCGTCGAGAATCCAATCCGATTACACGACATTTGAAAAATGGCAAAATGGAGGGAAAACTCATAAGGTGCGGTTGAGATGGGAAGTTGGTGTCCAAGTGGATCGAGGTCACGATAGCTCAAGTGGTAAAGCAGCGGCGTATCAAGCCAAAGATCGTGGGTTCGAATCCCGCTCGTGCCATTACTTTTTTATCTCAACTAAAAACCTTAATTAATTATAGTATATTGGTCAAGCGGACCACGAAATTAGTGAATTTAATAATATGTGCATAATGTCCACTATGTGGACATACGGTATTCAACTATGGGGTTGTACCAAACAGCAATATCAAAATCATACAAACACTCCAAAATAAAATCTTATGTAACATGGTCAATGCACCTTGGTACATAAGGAATAAGGACTTACATAGGGATCTTAAGATCCCTGAAGTCACGGCGGAAATACAAAGATTTGCCGCCAAACACCAGGCTCGCCTCAGCCAGCACGAGAATGTGGAAGCGACAAAACTCTTACATAACCGAAACATGGTCAGAAGATTAAAAAGAACAAAGCCATATGAACTTGTGTAGTTAAAAATGAACAGTGAAATGTAAATCTTATTGTACCAATGGGTTTATTATTGTAAAATTAATGGTTGGTCTAATAAGACCAGTTTTAATAAAAACATTTAATTTAAAAAAAATAATAATATTAATAATAATAATGTCCACTATCTCCTATATTCAAACAATGTCCAGTACATCCTGAAGGGTATGCAGCTTTATCCTCAATGCGATCTTGTTCTCCAGTTGGAAGTGTACGGCTCCTTTTACTGCTGGTAGTACGGAGTGAAACTTTCTGAATCTCTCTTGGATTGTTTCGCCGATGGAAGGTATGATGAGTTCCCAGTGCAATTGGGAATTACGTACAAACTACACTGCGTCTACTGCAATCCTCAGAATTTTGTTCTGTAGTACCTGGATTCTTTTGATTTTGGATGGTGAGGCAGCCCCCTATACTTCAGACTCGTAAAGGCCCAAAGGTCTTATCATGGATTTATAAATCAGGAGAGATATTTCAGGCTTAAGCATGGATTTTCTATTCATTAATGGGTACAGCATACTGAGGCGGGCGTATCCTTCTTGCAGTTTGCTATTAATGTGTATATTATAATTTAGTCTCCTGTCCATTTTAATTCCGAGGTACTTGACAGCACTGTCGGGAGGGTTCCAGGGAATGCTAGTCCCTTCGATATTCAATTCGTTTGGATTGCGGGGTCTTCTCAGAGTAAATATTTTTGCTTCGCATTTGCTGGGGTTGATTGTGAGCTTCCAGGTTTTACAGTCGGAGCTGATTTCAAGGAGCGCTGACTGGACAACATTTCGCGCCTTTTGGATGTCTGTTTCAGTGGCATATACCACGTCAGCATAGGCAGCAATGTTTACTTCTGGAGATGGGAAGTCACTCATGAAAATACTGAATACTTTAGGCGACATCACTGACCCTTGTGGAGTTCCCGAGTTGATACTTTTTTTCGGTTGAATAGCAATTGCCAACTCTGACTTTAAATTTTCAGACTTTGAGAAAGGAGCTTAGTACCTCAAAGGTTTCAGGATTCCCATACGTTCTAACTTATACCTTAATCCAGCGTGCCATACCCTATAGAAGGCCTGTTTTAAGTCCAAGAAAGCAGCAACTGTACGGCATTTGCCCTCTCCTTGCACCACATTTTCATGGATTCTGCATATTTGATGGTTGAATGATGTGAGCAGAAACCAAATTGATATACGGGGATGGTATCTGCTGAGAAGGCAAGGAGGCGTCTCTTTATGCATTTCTCATACAGCTTACCCATTTAGTGAGGAGGGCTTATTGGCCTATAAAAAATATTGCATTGCACTAATAAATAATAATATTGCACTATAACTGACAATATTGGAAAAACGACACGAGCGAGACTGGTCGGTTCTGTTTGGTGGAATAGTGAAACAGACACAATAACCACTAGTGAAACCGCAGTGTCTGTCAGCTGTGAAAAAAAAACCACTACGTGAAACTACCTTGGGTTCCATTTTGGCTCACGTCTAAGCTGTAACCGACACACACAGATAAAATGACAGGAAAGACGTTTCAAAATTACACTATCAAAACTGATTTTGACAAATGGTCTAGAACTTTGGGTCACCGATAAGCATACCAATAACCAACAGTCCTTTTTTTCACAGTCAAAAAATTTTCCAGGATCAACGATAAACTTTCCTCCTGAGCCCATTGCCTATGTCCAATCCCTATAACCCTGTCATACAACTTAGGCAGGGAAGATCATTAGACCTTACTAGTACTTACGTTGCGAGAGAATTAAAAATTATTGCTCCTCTCAAGATCCAGCATCAATGAAAATATGTACATAATCATCTCATTATACGTGTTAGACGTTTGAGGCCACGGTGTTCTGCATACCTTTGAGTTTAACACTTTCACCGAGGATGATACCAAAATGGTATCAAGCTCTCATTTCTTTCAAAACTCAAAAAAAATATCCTCCTGGTAAACAAGCCCAATGAAAAAGGTCCAAACTACTGCAAGTGGAAACTAAGAAGAAAATCTTTTTACTGCAACAGGGAGACTAGTATCAGCCAGACACGTGTCCTTGTGAGTACAGAACAGACGTGACGTACGTGGACAGTGTGTGTGTGTTTAAAAAGAACTTTTTTCCTTTTCCTTTTGTCCTTGGACTTCCGATGGGTGGAAGAGCCATGAAAAGAGAAGAAAGGACCAGTACAAGAAGTTTTATTTTATTTTTTAAGAATTTGTTTTCAAACTGTGTGGTTTTGTTTTTAATTTTTTTTTTTCTGTTAATACATTATTTTATTTTTATTGTTGCATTTTTTATTTATTACTCCGAGGGTTAACTGTTTCCTGGGAAAGAAAAACAGTGTGGAGCCTGATTTTTGGAAAAAGAAGCCACCATGGGAAAATCTCAACAGAGCCCAGGCAGAAGGTAATTTTTTTAAATTATATCAGTAATTTTTTTTAAATTATATCAAACTTTATTGGTAAATATATTTAAAAAATAAGATCTTACCGTACTCTTAAATTGACCCTGAAAAGTTTCTACGATTACGCTTCTATTAGATGATAAATGATCCTGCCAGTGTTTATCAGCGTCTAGTTCGCCAGATGCTTCGAAACTGAGATTTGAAGAGTTGCTCGTCTCAAAACTAGACCCTTCGCCTTTACCCTTGAATTTGTCTTCTTTCCTTTCACATTCCATTCTGTGAATGATCAATTTTTTTTTTTTAAATTGTAAAAAGTCTAGTGAATATGTTTTTACCTTTGGTTTTTTTCAAGCATAAATTGTTCTCCTAATTTTTGCCTTTCTTTTTCAATTTTTGTGTTTTTCTCTTCGTCCGATGAGCTCGAGTTTAGCTTGACTCGTTTCAAATCCAATCCTTCTTTAAGTTCCGCAGGATTAGAAAAGTGCGTCACTGTCGTTTTACATCTCTTCCCGCTGGTGTTATTTTCATAAAGTTGAAACGAATTAGTATTCCTTATTAAATTATCTGTCCTTGGATACTTTTCAGAGTCAAATCTTCAAAAAAAAAAAAAATTTGTCAAAAATAACACACAATCACAACAAAACAATAAAACTATACCTCAGTTCATTATTAGCCTCTTCTTCTGTAACTAAAACATTTTTTGAATCGACCGGACTCGGTTCTTTAATAATATCTTCTAAGCCGGTAAAAGGTCTTATTGTATTGTTGAGAATGATTTTATTCTCCGGCGACGACCCAGTGCATATATTGTTCAATTGCTTATCACAGTTTTTACTATCACATTTTTCAATATGGGCCAATCCCTTGTTGTTCATTTCAGCCAAATTGTTCACAACGGTTTTCTTTGCGCTGAACTTATTTACAATGGAATTGTTGAAAGTTTCCTTTTCCGACATTCTAGACTCTGTACATGAGACAAAGCCAAGAACTTCACTTTTACTGCTCGTCGACTGAGCCTGCTCACAGAAGTTGATTTTTTTCTAAAATACAATGAATTACATTGAATAAAATGTTATTAATGGCAAGGATATTGTTTAGTTTTAATAATACGATAATTTTAAAAGTTAAAATTTTCAATCGCAAATCATGAAAGTACCAACAAACAGTTCAGTACACCAGTTAAGTTCATTATCTATCCGGTTGTAAAATAAGTCCATAGCATTTTCAATATCAATAATTCTATTGGTTACACACTCTAAAATGGGTGTTTTAATTTGTCGAGTTCATTCAACATCCCGTATTTTTACAAGGTATTTTACTAATCTAAAATTGAATGGAAAATAGTGCATTTTTAACATTTATAATTTTTATTTTGTGGCCACAAAGAGAAAACAATAGCGCAAACTGGTAGAAAATTTGTGTTGTGTATGGTGTTAATTCTTTATGAGAAAGGCACCATCCATAAGGGGTTTGCTCGCTTCAGAAGCGTAAATTTTGCTTAATAAAGGGCTCTAGTTGGCCTTCAACCAGATAACCAAATTTCAGCTTTTGACACAAGTGACCCACAGAGATTCTTAATCCATCTCATATAAGCATTTCAAAGCATCTGAGAGCAACTGGATATTTTTTTCCTAGTAGTATATGGGTCTTCAGGGCACCATTGTGGCCAAGTGGTTAAGATGTCCATCCAACTAGCTTTTTAATTGAAAATGGTGAATTTTTTTTAATATAGTTATTCAGATATCGTGAGATGCGGTCGGGTGTGATGTAGGTTTCAGAAAAAACATTTTCTTTATCGTGCCAACGTTTCGATCTTTTATTGAGATCATCTGCAGGGCTCAAAGTGTTTGTCTTCTGTGTAATTGTGCCATCCTTGCGTGTCGTGTTGAGAGTGCCCACGACACACAAGGATGGTACATTTACACAGAAGACAAACACTTTGAGCTCTGAAGATGATCTCAATAAAGATCGAAACGTTGGCACGATAAAGAAAATGTTTTTCTGAAACCTACATCACACCCGACCGCATCTCATGATATCTGAATAACTATCGATTAACGGTCACTAATTTCTACACACTTTTTTAATATATTATGTGTATGAGGGTAGAAGGCTATCATGAAAAAAGGGCCAGGGGCGACGGTGGAATTGAAGTCATGACCTGGAGTTCAAGAGTCTATCACTAACCACTTGGCTACCACGGTTCTCAAAAAATGTATTGTAAAGTGGTTTGACCCATCATCTGCGACACACATTTGAAAATGACAGGAATTGCTTTCCTTTATTTTTGTTTAGATTCTTCACTTGCTGACTGAGAAGAATTGAGTTCCTTCTTTGATTTCTTTTTAAAACAGTTTAAATGTCCCGTTTTTAAAAAGATTTATAATAGGATGAAGTGGTTCTTTTACCACTACGTTCAAAGAGGAAAATTTCCAAAAACCAGATTACATCCCAAGAAGGTAACGTATATTTGGTGGAATCTGAATGACCTGCTTTATAAGGTTCTTCAGCCCAACGAAAAATTAATTTTGGTGTATAATATACATAACTGGCGTGATTAAAGTCAAGACCAAAAATGACCAGCATTGGCTACAAGCAATTTTCCCCCCACTGGGATACCCCCTGAGTATCTGCATAAGCACCGGAAATTGTTGGAGCTGAGATATGCTACCCAACCTCTAGCATATTCTCCTGACCTTGCCCCTTCAGACTTTAACTCTATCAAAGAAAAAACTTCATTTGAGGATTTCAGAAATCTGTTTGTTTAAAAAAAAATTGATTTTTTTAAAGGATATTTCAACTATGAAGTACCCTCGGGTAGACGGTGTTTTTGAAAACAAACAGCCCATTTGCAAGTATGTCTGGCTCAAATGAAGGGGTGCTGGATTCGAACCGGGAACCTTTTCCTTACAGTGATGAGCACTTTGTCAACACCTAAACTGTTGCAGCTAATGATGCCTCCTATTTAAATTTGTTTAAAAGTACCTTTAATTTTCATCGAATTTACCGTTAAAAAAACCCTACGGACTTATTTATAACCCCATATTCTACTATTTAGTTTTCAATTCAAACTTAATTATTTCAATTTTGTATTTAAAACACAGGATTTAAGGTAAAAACATTCTAAATTTAAGGAATATATCGGTCACGATATAAAATGGATGGGTTGTAGATATCGTTCCTCTTCCAACTCGGAAATTTACTATGTTTGAAAGCATAAGTTTCAGCATAAGTAAATATTCGTATTTTGTTAACTTTGCAAATTATTAATAATTGTTTAAAAATTCTGATGAAGAAGATTACTCGAAAGCCTGAAGGAACAGAAGGGTGATGAACTGAAATTTGTTCTTTATCAATTGTTTTTAGCATTGGCTTGTTGAATTGTCATTGCTATCAATTTTCCTTCAGAATGTGTTAAAAAACATTTTGATAAAAAAAATTATAAAAAAAAGACCAAACAACAGCTCTTAATTATAAGTTATGCTAATAGCTTATAAGATATAACCCCTACTGTCAAGATTCAAGTGTCAGATGATCAGGGAGGTTCCTGATAGCCTTGAAACAAGAAAGACAACTACTGATTTTTTTTCTCTCCCCCTCTCACTCTTTCTCTAAAGCTATCCCAAATATCAATACTGATTCAAAACATTCTAAACAGTGTGAAAATTCACGTCTGATCTCATAAATGACTCCTTTCCTTAATCAAAAAAAAAGCACCAGGACAAAATTATTGAAAGCTTGTAAATAAAATCTACCCTTTTTAAAGTGTAAATTGTATGAAATGAATTATGAAAATTTTATAAAAACAGTGCAGCAAACAGCTGAACTAGCTTATAAATAACTTACAAAATTAATTAAATATTAAAAAACGCTAGTTTGCCTTAACGACTACCTCGAATAATACAAAATTTGATTCTACATCTCAAAATAAATAAAGTTAGAAATAAAAAAAAATGACTGCCTAATAAATCTGGTTTTCTCCTCTAAATCGATTTTAAATTTTAGGATTGGGATAATTTTAATATTAAGTGTACAAACAAATCAAAAAAGTTGGTCTGCCTAATCTCACGTGTTGGTCTGTTAGACGTGTTCCAGAATTTTACCATGACTCAGCTTGTCCCGTTGTTCTTCTCATTATTTAAAATGTCAAAAAGCATCTGACAGAGCAATCCAGCGAGGATGAATAAACCAAATTGATAGATAACAAAGGAACCGAGTGTTTTGCTTTTACCTTTAAATTTGCCTTATTTGATTTTTTTTTTTTTTAATATAAACTTATTATAATGAAGGCTGATTAATATTGAAATTATTTATTTTTCCCATCTCAATAAGAATGGTAGAATAATAATCCTGATTCATACAAAGTTTCAAATGTTTCATAAAATAAGATTTAAAACTTTATTGCAAAATTTATCATTTATGTTCTTATAAATTTTGATTGTTTTTTGTTTATGAAAGAATAAGAATAAATAATTGTAAAACAAATAACAAGTGTTTGCAAAATAAAAAAATATGGCATCTAACAAAAGATGGTTTTAAAATTCAGCTGGTGTCTTCTCAAATCAGTTTTAAAATTATTTTCAAATAGCAGAACCTTTAATAAATTAACAAAACAAAAACAAATACAAGTAAATTATTACCATGTCGTTCCCTTCTTCAAAAGATTCATCCTGATTTTTACAGCACAATTTATTTTTCAAAGCAGTATTCAGTTGTTCATGAAGTCCATTGAGTAAAAGTGCGAGGAACTCTTGGCAATCATGCTGCAACAAAGGGCAAAAATCATGAAACATTCTAAAGCAGAAACATACCAAGACGAAGAGAAAAAGTCTACCTGTCTGTAGTCATTGAACTGAGGAAAATGTTTTGCTAAGGAGTTTTTGAAGTCTGCCGGGAGGACAGAGTGCTGCTTTCCGCTCCACATGGTTTTGGCAAGATCTGCGAGGCCGATAGTCAGCGACTGGTGAGGAGGGATCTGAGCATTAAGGAGGGTTGAAACAATCGGTGCTGTTGCCATCAGGCATTGGACACCAGCGCTCATGAAACACGTGTTCCCGAGGTTCCATAGACCGCATACTCCTGCTTCACCCATACCAGGCCCTGCTGGAGGACAAATACAATAAAATCAACAGTTCATTTATAATGTCAGTGGAATTCTATAAATAAATATCCATGTTTACCATTTTTCTTCATTTATACTTTTTAAAGATGATTTACAACCTTTTTTCCCCAATGAAGTTTTCGTTGATTTTACAAAATTATTGTACTTTCTAACAAATTAAATGCTATTATAGTATATTGGGCACATATTTTTACTTTATCATTTTTTGGATTTTCATATGTGAAAAATAAAATTGACAGAATACCACACAGGTGGACAATTTTTTTTTTTTTTACAAAAATGAATTAATAGGCTTTACCAAAAAATAAAACATGCATTAATTTTTCAAGACAAAAACAATGAAACGTTCAAATTCATTTTGAGTTCTTCGAAAATCTTGTTTGGAGGAAAAAGGACTGATGGATACATTTTGGATGTCTGGTCGATTTCATCCTTATCCTTCTTTAAAACTTTACTTGTTCAAAGTGTTAGATTTATTATTTATATCCAAGGGCTAATAAGGTAACTGGTTTCATGAAACTGGCTGGTTGAAATATACAGACATGCAAAATTGTTTCATGAAACTCGAGTTGCCTAAGTTTCATGAGTTTCGTGAAACTTGAAACTCGGGTTTTTGTCATTTATTTTGATCGAAATGTTATACATTAAAGTTATTGATTAAAATTCGTAGACATGCACACCACATTTCATGAAACTTGAGTTACAGCCACCACTAAAGACAAACAGCTTCTACATGGAATGACATCAGAAAACCTATTTCATAATACAATTTCTTCGCTGTGTGCAATCACTTGAAACTGGCTGCGTGAAACAAGTTTCTTGAACTCAGTTTCAAGAGACCATGCACAACACGTATCAAGAAACTCGAGTTGCTTGAGTAACATGAAAATTGAAACGAGTTTCAATAAACCTATTATTGATTGAAATTAACAGACATGCACATTTCATGAAACTCGTCCAGGATGAAATCCATTCCCATGATTGCCAATTTCATACGAACCTCCCAGCCATCATAATTTTCAAATACAAAAACTCTCTTTCCGATAAATTCCCTCCAACCCTCCTCGCCGATTAAAGACAATGGTCAAGAGATCTACTTTCCAGAGATAATGACACTAACTTTGATTAAATAGAGAACACTTAGGACTTATAGGATTGCTGTGGGTTGTTTCTCTATTCTCGTTTATTTGTTTTATACTCAGTTACTTGGTACCCAACTGAGAGTAGTAATGCACTACAAATCAATTTTTACAAAAAGTTTTCATGAAACCTATTGATTGAAATACAGACATGCACATTGCATTACACGAAACTTGAGTTACCTTAGTTTTGTGGGTTTTATGAAACGAGGTGAGGATGTCTCTGTGTATCCCAATCAATCGGTTTCACAAAACTCGAGTTTCAGGTTTCATGAAATCTATTTCAAGAGATCATGCACAATACGTTTCATGAAACTCGAGTTGCTTGAGTGTCAGGGGTTTCATGAAACCGCTTGATTGAAATACACCGAGACATGCCCACCACGTTTCATGAAACTCGAGTTACAGCTACCACCAAAGACAAGCAGGTTTTCATGCAATGACGTTGTGAAACTTTTTTCATAATACAATTTGTCTGATGTGGACAATCTCTTGAAACTGATTCAATATCCTCTGTACCCAAAAAGCACAATCCATAATGCTCAGAAAATCCTTGATGCTCTCATTTATGTATATAATATTCCTTTAGTCCAAGATATAACCCACTCCTGTTATCGCCAATTTCATACAAACCTCTCAACGACCAAAAAGCTTCAAATACCAAAACTCTTTTCCCAATAAATATCCTCCAACCCTCCTTGCCGAATAAAAAGACGATGGTCAAGAGATCTCTTTTCCAGTGATAGTGGCCCTAACCTCGATTAAATAGACAACACTTAGGACTCTTGGAGTTCTATGGGTAATTTGTTTTTTACACTAATTGTTACTTGGTACCCAATTGAGGGAAGTTGTAATGCATTGTAAATAAAATTTTAAAAAAATATTTCATGAAATGTATTGATTGAAACACAGACATGTACATTGTGTTTCATGAAACTAGAGCTATCTGAGTTTCGTGGGTTTTGTGGGTTTTGTGAAACAGGGTGTGCAAGTTTCTGTGTATCCCAATCAATCGATTTCACAAAATTTGAGTTTCAAGTTTCAAGAAACAAGTATCTTCAACTTAGTTTCACGAGATCATGGACAACATGTTTCAAGAAACTTAAGTTGCTTGAGTTTCAGGAGTTTCATGAAACCATTATTGATTGAAATTCAAGCCATGAGCACCAGGTTTTATGAAACCGCTTGATTTAAATACACCGAGACATGAACACCACATTTCATGAAAGTTGAGTTACAGTGTAACACCCGTTATCAAATAGTAACGACATTTACTATTAATTAACCTTGAATTAATAAATAAAATAAAACGAGGTAACTTTTAATTATTCCACATTTATTGAACACAAAATCCCAATAAAGCCAACACCAAATAATGAATAAAGCCTTCCTTATTTTAAATTAAACTAAAATACTGAATTTATACGATAATAAAGGAAATCAAATTAAACTAATTTTCAACTCCACATAAGCAAATAAAATGAAACATATATTATAAATCAAAGGTACTCAATCCTGTGAATCCTTATTCCTTGGGATCTCTCGCACACCTGAGTTCCGAGGTCCAGTTTGCTCTCCCTCTTATTGTTTATCCGAGATACCCAATCCTAATCATAGGGCTCGTGACAACAGCCACCACCAAAGAAAAACAGCTTTTTCATGCAATGACGGTGTGAAACTTTTTTCATAATACAGTTTGTCTGATGTGGACAATCTCTTGAAACTGGTTCAATATCCTCTGTACCCAAAGAGCCCAATCCATAATGCTCAGAAAATCCTTGATGATCCCATTTATGTATATAATATTCCTTTAGTCCAAGATATAACCCACTCCTGTTATCGCCAATTTCATACAAATCTCTCAACGACCATAAAGCTTCAAATACCAAAATTCTTTTCCCGACGAATACCCTCCAACCCTCCTTGCCGATTAAAAAGACGATGGCCGAGAGATCTCTTTTCCAGTGATAGTGGCCCTAACCTCGATTAAATAGAGAACACTTAGGACTCTTGGAGTTCTATGGGTAATTTCTGTTTTATACACTCGTTACTTGGTACCCAATTGAGGGAAGTTATAATGCATTGTAAATAAAATTTAAAAAAAAAGCTTCATGAAATGTATTGATTGAAATACAGGCATGTACATTGTGTTTCATGAAACTCGAGTTATCTGAGTTTCGTGGGTTTTGTGAAACAAGGTGTGCAAGTCTCTGGGTATTTCAATCAATTGGTTTCACAAAATTCGAGTTTCAGATTTTATCAAACCTATTTCAAGAGATCATGCACAACACGTTCCATGAAACCCGAGTTGCTTGAGTTTCAGGGGTTTCATGAAACTATTATTGATTGAAATTCAAGCCATGCGCACCAGGTTTTATGAAACCGCTTGATTGAAATACACCGAGATATGCCCACACGTTTCATGAAACTCGAGTTACAGCCACCACCAAAGGCAAACAGGTTTTCATGCAATGACGTTGTGAAACTTTTTTCATAATACAATTTGTCTGATGTGGACAATCTCTTGAAACTGATTCAATATCCTCTGTATCCAAAGAGCCCAATCCATAATCCTCAGAAAAATCCTCGATCATCTCATTTATGTATATAATATTCCTTTTGTCGAACATATAATCCATTCCTGATATCACCAATTTCACACAAACCTCTCAACGACCAAACAACTTCAAATACCAAATTCTTTTCCCGAAGAAGACCCTCCAACCCTCCTTGCCGATTAAAAAGACGATGGCCGAGAGATTTCTTTTCCAGTGATAGTGGCCCTAATCTTGGAGTCCTGTGGGGAATTTCTGTTTTATACACTTATTGTTACTTGGTACCCAATTGAGGGAAGTTGTAATGCATTGTAAATAAAATTTAAAAAAAAAAGCTTCATGAATGCATTGAGTGAAATACAGACATGTACACTGTGTTCATGAAACTCGAGTTATCTGAGTTTCGTGGGTTTTGCGAAACAAGGTGTGCAAGTTTCTGTGTATCCCAATCAATCGGTTTCACAAAACTCGAGTTTCAGGTTTTATGAAACCAGTTTCTTTGGTGTGCAACCTGCCTAGCAACAAGAGCAACAGTTGCAACTCATCATTGCACTTTATAATTTTAAAATTTAATTCTTTTCTGGTAAACAAACAGGTTCCTACTCGTACTTTTTGTACTGGCAATCACTTTTTTTTTGTCAATATGAAAATAAATAAAATTTGTGCTTACTCAACGAGACGCCCTCGATGTCGTCCTCCGGGCAGATGTCAGTCGGGAAAATGGGAATACAGTTCTCAAAAGCTGAGGACGTCGCATCCTTCGACATATCCAGGAATTTGATGTCAACGTTGTTATCGTTCCTGAAGACGAAAAGTAGATTTAGAAACATGTCAATCGTACTGTCGAAACCCGAAAAACTATCGTTATAAAATGTATTTTTTTAATTTTAATTTTTTTTATTTACCATGTGTTCAGGTCTCGCAAGTTGATCGCCGGTGTGCTTTCGATATCGAAAAAGTCATCTTCTTCATCCTCGCAGACGTAAGACTTGATTGTCTTCGAAACAAGGAAAATTTCAGAGACAGAATCGTCCGATTCATCCTCGACAAGGATCCCGACATCACATTCCATTTTATTTATAATAATTATTTTAAAAAAATTACACACTACATGGTTTTTTTTTTAAAGAAAACCCCGAGCACTTTTCAAGTTCTTGACAAGAAACAAAGCTCGGGAGAGAGAGAACCTCGCCTTCGAAGGACAAAGCTCTCTCCTTTTTACGCCCTAACACAACCCGTCAACATAATTATCCGATTATTTTGAAAAATTTACAAATTTTATGGTATGACAATCCGGGTGGAATTGAGTTTTGAGACGGTTTGACTCCTTTTATGAAACCATGCCGGCCATCGACTCGGACTGCGTTCCATCTGAGATAACGGGTCGATGCTTGAGCGACCCGCTCGTTTCAAACTTGGATTTCTCGGATTCTGAACTTCCTGGTCCGCATCGTCTCGCTTGGTCCGAACAAGGAGCTTTCCTTTTATACAAAGGCCTAATGTAAGACATATTACTGTAGGTTTATCGAAACAAAATTTATCCAAAGTATCAGTCATTATGTATTAAAACAAAACTTTATTTATTTCATCAAATTTGTGCCATACTCTAACCGTTGAAAGTAGACTAATATGAATGATAAGTATAAACAAAAGTGGACCAAGATGTCAGCCTTGCGGTACATCCACAGAATTGCAATTTACAAGCCCAACAGCAATTAACCTTAAATTTTGATACTTATTTAAATAAGCTTAAAAACACTTACTCTTTGTTTGTTTAAATATGTAAATCTGTGGTAGTTTAAAAGCTAGATATCTCTAACAGAGAGAGCAAAAAAAAAAAATCTGTTCTATTAACACAAAATCAGGAGCACAATTTGAATGTAATAAATTCAAAAAATATATTGATTCTCTTTTTTTTTTGATATTTTGAATATGAATGAAAGTAGAAATAAAAGTGGTCCAAGATGTCAGCCTTGCGGTACACCCACAGAATCGCAATTTAAAAGCCCGACAGCAATTAACCCTAAATTCTTATACTTATTTAAATAAGCTTAAAAAACTTACTCTGTGTTTGTTTAAATATGTAAATCTGTGGTAGTTTAAAAAATAGATATCTCTAACAGACAGCAAAAAAAAAAAAAAAAAATCTGTTCTGTTAATACAAAATCAGGAGCACAATTCATATGTAATAGCTAAGGAATCAAATGGGAAAGAGGAAAAATTCAAAAAATATTTTGTTTCTCTTCTTCATTGGATATTTTTCATCTGGATTATAAAAACTTCTTAAGCTTTTCCTTTGATTTATTTTTAAATGTATTTTGAGTCTCTTTCAACCTCCTCCTCAGTACATTTTTTATTTGGAATCTCAACAACCGACTTGAATCTGAGTTTTTCTAATCGAAAAGTTTTATAGAATGTCAAAGCATTGGAATTGGTTGGCCCTCACATACTGAAATGGGCTAAAAATTACATACACATATGAAAATAGACTTTTATACTTGCATATTTCACAATACATAAAAGACATTTTGTTTGTGCCCCACATCAATCAGTGAAAGTGATGATGTGAATGACAAGCAAAAACAAAAGTGGACCAAGATGTCATCCTTGCAGTACACCCACAGAATTGCAATTTAAAAGCCCGACAGCAATTAACCCTAAAACCTGATACATATTTAAATAAGTTAAAAAAACCTTAAAAAAAAGCTTCAGGCAGGATAACTTTCAAACCATCGTAGAACCTTGCATATATTTTAAGAAAAAAAATCATACTGTGAGATATTTGATCTGAAAAGGAAACTCTTATCATATTTATTTTTACAATTTCTCAGAAATCAAATGAAGTTTTAATCCATGGCTTAACAATCATTCTGGCTGTGTTCTGTACTTGAATGTTAAGTAATGAAAAAGCTTAGCCAATAATTTTGACAAAACCTGATTATATAATAAAATAAGCAGACTCAACTGGCACTCTCAACACAACACGCAAGAATGGCACAATTACACAGAAGACAAACACTTTGAGCCCTGAAGATGATCTCAATAAAGGTCGAAACGTTGGCATGATAAAGAAAATATTTTTCTGAAACCTACATCACACCAGACCGCATCTCATGATTTCTGAATAATTAATAATAAAATAAGTTTAATTATGTATTTTTTGTATCTGTTTTCCATGTATTTTCTTTTATGAGACAGTCTGTAAAGTAGAGAATTGATGGGTTTTTGGAATTTTTTTAAGGAAATTTTTTGCTGTAAAATTTATAATTGTATATATTCTTTGCACTTGAATAAATAGTAATTATTATATTGGCACAATTGCACAGAAGACAAACACTTTGAGTGAGTAGAAATACTTTGATTGAATGTAAAAAATATATTTTGCATGGTATAAATTCACTTTTCCACATCCTAAATGTATTTGTTAAATTTAAACAATGTTTGTAAATCCCAGGCGCTGAAGATGATCTCAATAAAGGTCGAAACGTTGGCATGATAAAGAAAATATTTTTCTGAAACCTACATCACACCAGACCGCATCTCATGATTTCTGAATAATTAATAATAAAATAAGTTTAATTATGTATTTTTTGTATCTGTTTTCCATGTATTTTCTTTTATGAGACAGTCTGTAAAGTAGAGAATTGATGGGTTTTTGGAATTTTTTTAAGGAAATTTTTTGCTGTAAAATTTATAATTGTATATATTCTTTGCACTTGAATAAATAATAATTATTATATTGGCACAATTGCACAGAAGACAAACACTTTGAGTGAGTAGAAATACTTTGATTGAATGTAAAAAATATATTTTGCATGGTATAAATTCACTTTTCCACATCCTAAATGTATTTGTTAAATTTAAACAATGTTTGTAAATCCCAGGCGCTGAAGATGATCTCAATAAAGGTCGAAACGTTGGCATGATAAAGAAAATATTTTTCTGAAACCTACATCACACCAGACCGCATCTCACGATTTCTAAATAATTATATTAATGTTTCCCGTTTTGTGATGTCAAGTCATTGGTGATTCATCCCTGCTCCTGAGTCATTTCGACCGAAGAACCTTCACGTCCAAATCTTGGTCACACCATGTGGTCATTGCTCCTTTTGTAGGTTTTCCGGTCAATAGCAGGAATAATTACATGTTTGTAGTCATTTTTTTTCTTTTAAGTAGATCTTTTAATAATGACATAGCCGATTTATTATGCGATTTTTTTAGGGTTGCACAGCTTTAAAGCTGGGTTGTTTCTCTTCGAATTAACATCAAGGCTGGTGTCGAATTCTGGAAAGCCTTATATGGTAATGAAAGCTGGCCTTGCTTAAAGCCTGAAACTGTCAACTTCTGTTTGATAAAAGATCAAAAAATCCAAATCAAAATGCAGGTATGAAGTTTCAATTTTAAAAAAATTTTCTGTCTGTGAACTTGCCTTTTATTAAGGATATTAACAATTGTTTTGTCCAACAGGATCCTAATGAAGACACCGAGTGGAATGACATCCTCAGGAAAAAAGGGATCATCCCTAAAAAAGAAAAAGAGGTTACTGAAGAAGACATCGTCAACATGGTAGAGGCGACTGTGCAAGAGAAGCAAAATCAAGGTTGAAAATAATTGTTTATTGACTTTTAGTACAAATGTTCATTTTACATAAATCTTATGCAAAAAGAGAATGCCAAGGTATAGCAAATATCCAGGCTATAATGAAAGGTCATGATTGGATTACTGTCCGATGCTTCTTCTGCAAAGTCAGTACTAATCCAGCATGTTGCGTAAAGTGTTACATGTATCAACAAATTTTTTTACACGATAATAATCTGGATCTCACCTGGATGACAAAACATTAAATTATCATCTGCCAAGTTTTCGACCGTTACAGTACTTGGCAGTGTTGGTACTAAGTTTATATTCAGATACACTTGATATATAAAACAAATTACTGATCTATTAAAAATTTACTTATGTCAATTTGCAGTCATTTAATGTTTGTTTTGCCCTGATGACCTTAACATAGGTCGAACGCTTGGCAAATAACAAGCAAATTTTTTTTTAGACATACATGTCACAATTTAGATTTAGATTTTATTATTAGGGTATTCTCCAAAATACCCTGATGATATTTTCATTCCTTTAGATTAAAATGTGTGATTTGTTCCTTTTCCCGCTTAAGATTGGCTCGGTACTGTAGATGCTTAAAGTGCGAAAGAATTTCTTTGCCCAAAATTATGAAGTGGTTTATTGTCCTAAAGTATGAAGCAGTTTCTTTTCCCTACAGTATAAAGCAGTTTCATCCTTTAAAACTGTGTAGTGGTTACTTTTCCTAATGTTTGAAGCAGTTTTTTCTAAAGTATGAAGTAGTTTTGTTAAAGTATGAAGGAGTTTCTTTTCCCTAATGTATGAAGCATTTTTCTTCACCCCCAAAAAGTGTGAAGTGTTTACTTTTCCAAAAGTATGAAGCAGTTTTTGCCTAAAGTATGAAGCAGTTTTATTCTTACCACAAAAGTGTGAAGTGTTTTATTCTCTAAAAAGTGTGAAGCATTTTTTTCTAAAGTATGAAGCAGTTTCTTTCCCCCCTAAAATATGAAGCATTTTCTTCCCCCCCTTACAAGTGTGACGAAAATATGAAGCATTTTCTCCCCCCCCCCCAAGTGTGATGTGGTTTCATTCCCTACAGGGTGAAGCAATTTTTTCTAAAGTATTAAGCAGTTTCTTTTACCTAAAATATGAAGCATTTTCTTCCCTCCCAAAAAGTATGAAGTATTTACTTTTCATAAAGTGTGAAGCAGTTTTTGTCTAAAGTATGAAGCAGTTTTATTCTTACCACAAAATTATGAAGTGTTTCATTCTCTAAAAAGTGTGAAGCATTTTTTCCAAAGTACCAAGCAGTTTCCTTTTTCAGCAGTGTGAATTCGTTACTTTTCATAAAGTGTGAAGCAGTTTTATTCATACCACAAAATTAAAAAGTGTTTCATTCCATAAAAATTGTGAATCATTTTTTTAAAGAATGAAGCATTTTCTTTCCCCCCAAAAGTGTGAAGTGGTTTCATTCCCTACAGGGTGAAGCAGTTTTTTTTTCTAAAGTATGAAGCATTTTCTTTCCACCCAAAAGTGTGAAGTGTTTACTTTTCCTAAAGTGTGAAGCAGTTTTTTTTCTAAAGTATGAAGCAGTTTTATTCATACCACAAAATTAAAAAGTGTTTCATTCTCTAAAAAGTGTGAATCATTTTTTCTAAAGTATGAAGCATTTTCTTTCCCCCCAAAAGTGTGAAGTGTTTGCTTTTCCTAAGTGTGAAGCAGTTTTTTTTCTCTAAAGTATGAAGCATTTTCTTTCTACCCAAAAGTGTGAAGTGTTTACTTTTCCTAAAGTGTGAAGCAGTTTTTTTCTAAAGTGTGAAGCAGTTTTTTTCTTCTAAAGTATGAAGCATTTTCTTTCTCCCCAAAAGTGTGAAGTGTTTGTGTTACGGCCAATGCCGTGTAAGAAAAAAAATAATAATTAAAAAAAATGAAACAGTAAAATAAATTTAAGGAAATTCTAAATTAAAATAAATGAAGGGAGAAATTCATAGGGGACTTACCACCTTCCTTCAGATGCCTGCTGCAAGAAGCGTAGGGAGCTCGGGCCCGATTCCTCTGACTTCGTCGCAGAATATCTGATGAATTCAGGTGGAAGAGATCGATACAGCAGAACAGAGGGTTTTTCGGAGATTCGCGTGATTAAAGACTTTTTTAAGTAATAAAGGAGAGAAACATACGAGATTAAAGAGAGGCGTAAGGACACTTTCTTTCGTAGGAGTAGAACAGGACTGGGTTTGCAAGGAGCGTGGGAGTAGGGGATTACAATAATCCAAAACAAAGTATATTTAAAAATGAGATGGCTGGCGCCAACAGTTTGCTTTTCTTAAGTGTGAAGCAGTTTTTTTCTTCTAAAGTATGAAGCATTTTCTTCCCCCCCCCCAAAAAGTGTGAAGTGTTTACTTTTCCTAAAGTGTGAAGCAGTTTTTTGTAAAGTATGAAGCAGTTTTATTCTTACCACAAAAGTATGAAGTTTCATTCTCTAAAATGTGTGAAGAATTTTTTTCCAAAGTACGAAGCAGTTTCCTTTTTCAAAAGTGTGAATTCGTTACTTTTCATAAAGTGTGAAGCAGTTTTTTTTTCTAAAGTATAAAGCAGTTTTATACTTACCACAAAAGTATGAAGTGTTTCATTTGCTAAAAAGTGTGAAGAATTTTTTTCAAAGTTTGAAGCAGTTTCCTTTTTCAGAAGTGTGAATTTGTTCTTTTCATAAATGGTGAAGCAGTTTTTTCTAAAGTATGATGCAGTTTTATTCTTACCATGAAAGTATGAAGTGTTTCGTTCCCTAAAAAGTGTGAAGCATTTTTTTTCCAAAGTATGAAGCAGTTTCCTTTTTCAGAATCGTGAATTCGTTACTTTTTCTAAAGAGTGAAGCAGTTTTTTTCTAAAGTATGAAGCAGTTTTATTCATACCACAAAATTAAAAAGTGTTTCATTTTCTAAAAAGTGTGAATCATTTTTTTGAAGTATGAAGCATTTTCTTTCCCCCGAAATGTGTGAAGTGGTTTCATTCCCTACAGGGTGAAGCAGTTTTTTTTCTTCTAAAGTATGAAGCATTTTCTTTCCCCCAAAAGTGTGAAGTGTTTTCATTCCCTACAGGGTGAAGCACTTTTCTTTAAAGTATGAAACAGTTTCTTTCCTAAATTATGAAGTAATTTGTTCTCCAAATTTTAAGCAGTTTCTTTCTTTAAATTTTGAATCACTTTCTTTTCCTAAACTGTGAAGTAATTCTCTTTCCATAAATTGAGAAACACTTTGTTTTCTTTAATTGTTAACCACCTTAATTTCCTGAAGTGTGAAGCAGTTCTCTTACCCAAAATTTTGAATATTTTTCTAATTTATATTTCTTTTTGTAAGATGGAAAGCCACTCGATGAGCTTACTTTGGACGAGTTGGATGAGTTGGAGGATGATGAGGATGAAAGGGTTCTGCTTGAATACAGGCAAAAGAGAATTGCTGAAATGATGGAGCAAATGTCAAAGGCTCGCTATGGGTCCGTACTAGAAATCAGCGGCCAGGATTACGTCGATGAAGTCAACAAGGCTGGAGAAGGAGTTTGGGTGGTTCTTCACTTGTATAAAACAGGGTAAAATTTATTTCAATTACCAAAACCCAAGGAGAGTTAAATTAATTTTGAGATTTCTTTTAGGATACCTCTTTGTGCTTTGTTGAATATGCATTTGGCAGAGCTGGCCAGGAAATATCCCAAAACAAAATTTATCAAAAGTATATCCACCACATGCATACCAAACTTTCCCGACAAAAATTTGCCAACGATATTTGTATATTTTGAAGGAGTCATGAAAGCTCAGTATATCGGCGCAGCTGAATTTAGAAGAGAGGACATCTCTGTTGAAGGTTTGTTTAAAATTAATTATTTATTAAATGACAAATTATTCGATTGTATGTTTTATTTTGCAGAGGTTGAATGGATGGTTGGTAAAACTGGTGCTATTGAAACTGAAATTAAAGAAGACCCAAGGCCCAAGGAGAAGCCAAGGGATGTCCTTTTTTCACAATTACAAGCTGAAGGTGGTGCAAATGATTGGTTTTGAACTACTTTCTCACAATTTATAGGATTGTTTTTTATGTTTGAACAATGATTTAAAAATCAAATTATATCTTTGTTAATTTTATTTATGTTTTTGTTTTATTAACATTACAATGTAATCATTCAATGTAATAATTACAAGTAAATTTAGTATTACTTTTATTTACACAAAAAAAGTTGTGTTTTATGTAAGTGTGTATATAATATTAATAAAATATTTATACATTGATTTTATTAACTTTGTACCACTCATTAGAAACCTTTTTCCAACAAACTGACTAGATTGTAATTCAAAAAAAGTTTTTAAAATGTTTTAATAGAAAATTTTTTTTTTGGGGGGGGGGGTTCGATTCTGGAAAAAAATTCAATTTAAGTACTGTCAAGTCTCAATGTGAGAAATAGACTGTCAAACTACATTTTACCTTTGAAATCCGAAGAATATTTTTAATTACTTAAAATTCTTTAACATCCAGGGTTGGGTGTGAATAATGCTGAGCTCTTACAAGAGTTTCTTTTCTAGTTTTAATTTAAATGTTTCTTTTCTTATATTGCGAAAATCTTTCTTTTCCTATAGTGCGATGTAAGTTCTTCCCCTGAAGTATGAAGCACTTCTTCTTTGCCTAAAGTGTGTTGCAGTTTCTTACCCGAAATTGAAATGGTTTATTTTGCTAAATTGTAAAGCAGTTCATTTTTTTAAAAATTGTTAAGCACTTTCTAGTCCTAAGTTGAGAAACGCTTTGTTTCTTAAAGTACAAAAAAAGTGCTTTTCCTAAAGTGAGATGCAATTTTTCTTCTGAAATTGTAATGCAATTTCTTTTCCTAAATTAAATCCTTAAATCGTTAAACGTTTTCTTTTCCTAAAGTGTGATTCACTTTCTTTTCCTAAATTGTTAAGCCGTTTCTTTTTTTTTTTAATTCTGAAGCAGTTTCGTTCCTTAAACCGTGAAACATTTTCTTTTCCTAAAGTGTGATACACTTTTTTTCCTAAATTATTAAGCAGTTTCTTTTCCTAAATTGTGAAGCAGTTTCGTTCCTTAAATTGTTAAACATTTTCTTGTCCTAAAGTGTGATACACTTTCTTTTCCTAAATTGTGAAATATTTTCTTTTCCTAAAGTGTGATTCAGTTTCTTTTCCTAAATTATTAAGCCGCTTTTTTTCTTAAATTTTGAAGCAGTTTTGTTCCTTAAATTGTGAAACACTTTCTTTTTCTAAATTGTGAAATGTTTTCTTTTTCTAAAGTGTCATTTACTTTTTGTCCTTAAATTGTTAAACATTGTCTTGTCCTAAGTGTGATACATTTTCTTTTCCTAAATTGTGAAATATTTTCTTTTCCTAATGTGATTCAGTTTCTTTTCCTAAATTATTAAGCCGCTTTTTTTCTTAAATTTTGAAGCAGTTTTGTTCCTTAAATTGTGAAACACTTTCTTTTCCTAAATTGTGAAATGTTTTCTTTTTCTAAAGTGTGATTCACTTTTTTTCCAAAATTGTGTAGCAGTTTAGTTCCTTAAATCGTGAAACATTTTATTTTCTTAATGTGTAAAGCAGTTTCTTTTCCTAAAGTGTGAAGCAGTTTCCTTCCTTAAATTGTGTGGAACATTTTCTTTACCTAAATTGTGATTCACTTTCTTTTCTTAAATTGTTAAGCCATTTCTTTTCTTAAATTCTGAAGCAGTTTTGTTCCTTAAATTGTATAACACTTTCTTTTCCTAAATTGTGAAATGTTTTCTTTTTCTAAAGTGGAAAGGAATTTCTTTTCTTGACTTGTGAAACACTTTGTTTTCCTAAAGTGTGATAAAAGTTTTTTCCTAAAGTGTGATACACTTTCTTTTCCTAAATTGTTAAGTAGTTTCTTTTCTTAAATTGTGAAGCAGTTTCGTTCCTAAAATCGTGAAAAAGTTTCTTTTCCTAAAGTGTGAAATATTTTCTTTTCTTAAAGTGGAAAGCAGTTTCTTTTCTTGACTTGTGAAACATTTTCTTTTCTTAAAGTGCAAAGCAGTTTCTTTTCCTAAATTGTTAAGCAGTTTCTTTTCTTAAATTGTGAAGCAGTTTCGTTCCTTAAATTGTGAAACATTACCTTTTCTTAATGTGTAAAGCAGTTTCTTTGCTTACAATGTGAACAGTTTTGGTTCTTAAATTGTGGAGCAGTTTCGTTCAAGTCATTTGTCCTTTTCCCAAACCTGTTTCGCACATTCAGGGGGTGGAACAGAAAGGGGGATTCTTAGGGAGCAGAAAAGTTGAAGTAAGGCAAGTGGTTCCTCTCCCTCCCTTATAAGAGATAATTGCTTTCTCTTCTTCAATTGCACAAACCCCCAAAAATCAATCAAACAACTGTGTTTCATGCCTCACGACACTAAAACGAGCAACATCAGGACCAAAGAAAATGATGAATGTGAAGGATATGTGATGATGTCAGTTGAAGAATATTGCTGTGATGGACAGAAAAAAGAAATAAAAAGTATTTAAATCAATGAGATTTAAAAAGTTCAGATTTGGCAGAATATATAATTAAATTTAATTCCATCCAGCATGAGAATAAATTAATTTAGATACTATTCCAAGAAATGTCATGGAATTATGAAAAATAATTTATTATAAAACCCATGAAAATTATTATTAATTTTTAATGTTGGTATTTTTTTTTTTTTATTTGTTCAGATCTTTTACAGAAAATTCAACTACACTATCTTCATCTCTCACTGGATCCCGTTTTGTTGTACAAATCTAAGCGACTTTTCAAGTTTATACATTCCAGGTGAAAGTGTCAACTGGCTCCAGTGATACGTCTTAAGAAAGATCTCGAACAAGTTTGTAATTTGTGATAAGGGTGTCTGATTGATGGTTTGTCCTTTGTTTCGCAACTCTTATACAAGATTTCAGAGAACTTTGTTACCACAAATTACTTTAAACAACAGTTCACCTTACTCTCGACACGACATGTCTGATGATTTTGAGACAAACACCTTCAATTACTGTAAAAAAAAAGAAACTTGATTTTTTTTTCAGCAACAGAAAATTCACCAATTTTCCAAAAAACCAAAGTTTTACTTTAAGGAATTGGGCCATTACTCAGAAGAAAATGTAGCCTGAAGGAACAAGGTCAGGACTGTATTTCCAATACAAGTTCAATTCTATCGGAATTTTTTTAAATTTTTAAAATGCCATCTTTCGAAAATTTCATTGCAGTTGTTCAAAATTGAGTTTTGAATCACCAAAATGAAAATTTTTTAACCTAGTTTATTTGATAATTACAATGGGAAGGAAGAAAGCACCATCAATCCCCTTTGGTGGTTATCTTCTGTTACTTTTTCGGATGAATGTATTTATTAGCGAGAATGTTGGATGATGTTTGGTTTTTAAAACATACGCTCGAAGATCTAGAAAAGCATCCAAATCAACAGGATTGGAAATCAATCAATCCAAGACTCATTACCAATTCGGAAGAAGGAAGAAATCCACCCCCTGTGCACATTATTTCCTGTTACTTTTGTGGATGAATGTATTTATTACCGAGAATGTTAGATGATGTTTGGTTGTTAAAACATGTGCTCGAAGATGAATCAAGCCAAGGCGCCTAACCATTGAGAAGGAGGAAGGCATCAACCCCTGTGTACATGATTTCCTGTTACTTTTGCGGACGAATGTATTTATTAGCGAGAATGTTGGATGTTTGGTTGTTAAAACATACCCTCTAAGATCTAGAAAAGCATCCGAATCAACAGGATTGGAAATCAATCAAGCCAAGACCCATTACAATTTGGAAGAAGGAAGAAATCCACCCCCTGCGCACATTATTTTATGTTACTTTTGCGGATGAATGTATTTATTAGCGAGAATGTTGGATGATGTTTGGTTGTTAAAACATGTGCTCGAAGATGAATCAAGCCAAGGCGCCTAACCATTGAGAATGAGGAAGGCATCAACCCCTGCATTATTTTGTATTACTTTCGCGAATGAATGTATTTATTAGCGAGAATGGTTGATGAACGAGTATGAACATCTTACATATTAAATCTATTCTGAAAGATAAAAAAGCAAGCAAGATTGGAAATGAACCGAATTTTAAATCAATGTGCAAGAAAAAAGTGTCAGACTCAGTCGCATATTATCTTCTGTCATTTTTTCGGATGAATGTATTTATTAGCAAGAATGTTGGATGAACAAATATGAATTTCTTGGATGCAAAAAACGTATTCTCGATTGGAAATCAACTAAGAAAAGGATCATAAGTGGGAAAGAAGAAGATGAATGTATTCGATATTTCGTTGAACGTATTTATTAGCGAGAATACTCTCAGGGAACAACAAAGCGCGTTTAGAAAAATGCGAAACAATACAGGACCCAGAATTTAGCCTTGAGAGACTGTTTTTAAATCTTCAAAGGACAAGAAAGAGATTTATGGAGGGTGACACGAAAAAAAACCTTATTTGCAGGTAGTAGTTAACAATGAAAATGTATTTATTAGCGAGATTGATAATGAATGTATTTAAATATGTATTGTATGAATCGAACAAATGAAAATTAACCACTTAATCTCAAATTTTTATTTTTAATCAAAACTGTTTAGTGTTTTATGGTTTGTTTAAAACTTCGGCAGTCATTAATTACAGATACAGGGTGAATTGCTACTCGTGCTACAAACTTCTCCAGTAGATTCTTCACCCTAAAATGAACAAAAAAGTTCATATTGTCCATGGTCCGATTCTCAACCANCGGACCATGGACAATATGAACTTTTTTGTTCATTTTAGGGTGAAGAATCTACTGGAGAAGTTTGTAGCACGAGTAGCAATTCACCCTGTATAATTTGACCCGTAGGCGTTAATAAATTATCCCACTGATATCGATATTAATGCTCGGATGGATCGTCGGCGCCTATAGAAAACTATTGGCCTAGAAATTTGATAAGTCTACGGACTTAAAGGGAAAATAATCAACGATCGGCATGAAGATAAATCGATCAAAGGCAAGTTTGAGCATAGATTTTTAAACAAAATTTAGCCACGTTTGCTGTTCTTAAGAATAATTTCAGAAATAGAATTTCTTTTGACGTGGGTATCAAATTTGTAAAAAATTTAGTTTATAAATATTTTTTTCTTGTATGAAAGTATATAATCTGCATACATTATGTTACATAAATTTGATTGTATGAAACATAAAATGAATTATTTTATTAAAATAAATAAATAAAATTAATTGTATTTCACTTTGAAAAATGTTCGTGTGAAGGC